TTGCGCTTGTCTTTTTTTTTTTTTTGGGGGGGGGGGGTACAGCCACTGCAGGTGGGGTGGATGACCAAGGGAAAATATGGAGTGAAACTAAATTGAATGAATATTATCTATGTAGGGAAAATAAACAAGAGTTTGCTGATGCTATTGTGATATTGATGCCCTTTATTTCATCAAATTTCTTTTTGTTGCTTCCCCTATCTTTATAAAAGATAGATAAATAGTCTGTCATGTGTGTGTGTGTTGGTGTGTGTGTATGTGTGTGTGAAAAAGTCTGAGAACCACTATCCTGAACTGACAAACACCAAATCCAGTATTATCAGCCTAAAAATTACAAAATAAAAATACAGAACTGAGTAACCACTAAAAATGGCATTATTTTAAGTCATTACTGCTACATCACTATCAATATATATATGTATATACATATACATATATATATCACTCCAAGGAACTGCTTCTGTCCCATTCAAGACTTTTATAAATTAATTTGAAGACTATAATTCCTTCCTCCTGAACTAAGTGTCTTTTTACACTTTTCGATACCTGTGGATTTGTTGGTTTTATGTGTATGAGCAAATGAATAACCAAGGTTATATTTGAAAAATATGATGGCAAAACTAATTAAAAGTCATACTGATATTCACCAATATAGGCCATTTAGCAAACACTGGCAAATACTTTGCTAACCTGCTTTTATGTAAATTAAAAAAGAAGAGAACGTGACTCAGGGTCATGAAATTATTCAGTACATCATCACATCATTTTACAGCTGCCACATGATAACTGTGTGTTTGTGCAGTGTGTGCAACATTGCACAAACTCATGTTGAAAACTCTCTGCCCGGCTCTAATTCCCCTTTCAACTACAACCTTTTTATTTTCTCTCCTTGCATATTATATTCATCATATTATTATTTTTATTTATTTTGGGATTAAAGATGAGCTATATTTTTATGTTACATTGGACGACATTACAGAAATTACATGTAAGATGCGGCACTGTGAAATGATGCGGCTGGAAAAGGTTGATAGGATCTGTGACAAAGTGGGTAAGAATTACACCACTTGTCCCTACTTTTATCCATCATAACATCATAGTTTACAGATTTACTCATGCTTGTTCACCATTTAACCTTATGTTCAGTAACTTTTCATTTGCAGACACATTCTATCCCGGGTTTGTTTGTAGTTTGTATTATGTTTAGTTACAGTTCATTTTGACAACATTTTTTGGTTAAATTAAAACATCTACAAGTATTAAGTTTAGTTATTTATTGATTAAGTTCTATTTTCATTTCTCACAGCTTCACTGTATGGTGCATTTTGGGGCTTTTTCAGTTTGAGGGTAAAAGCTGGAACGCTGTTCATTTAAGAACAGTATGGTGATAGGTGTTGGATTGCTGGGATTTGAGAGGCTCCGTGTAGCTCAACAGAGGGGGTGGTGTGGCTGCGGATTCCGTCAGTGTGACGATTGGCGATCTGTTTGCACCATTGTTGTGAAATTGGTGCTGGAGTGTCGCTCCCTCGTCTATGTCGTTTTTGCTGGAGTGTGTGTCCATCTGGGTCATCAGCCTGTGTTGCACCCAGACTTTGAAGATTGGCCCGTAGCTATATTTTGCTCTTGGGTTGATGTGTGTGGGGTGAGGAATCGTTGAAGATCTGGCGAGCATCCAGTTGTTTGAGGTTTCTTGCTGGTGTAAATGGTTTTTACTGTTACTGGTGGTACATGAATGTGATGGTAGGCCGCTGGTGGTTTAGTAGGGGCAGACCGGTAGAATTTGTCCAGGGATAGCCAAAGTGATTTAGTGTTAGAGTGCACGCGTCATGTTCAGCATTTACAAAAAAATAAAATAATTAATCTAGGCTAAACTGATTTAGTTAACTCATGTAACTCACCTTAAACAACATCATGTGGTAAACAGCTACACTGATGTTCATTCCCTCGCACAGACAAAGCAAAGCACTGCTTATATAGGCGCCTTCCATCAGACTATCTTGGGACCATAACCATCGCTGCAGTGAATACATTTTTACTTTATTGGACACAGGGAGATATAACTACAGTTAATTCTAACTATAAGCCACTGATAGGGGAAAAAACCCTTGCCCTATAGTTTATCTACTAAAATAAAAATGCATATACATAAATAATTCAAATCACGGGTAATAAACCACAACCTAAATTTACAATCACCCCTCGCCCACATGAACTGGACGTACTGGTGACTCACGCATGATGTCCATCTAAGGTATATAATATGGGACAGTCCAATTGCTGCTTTCCTCCTTTGTCTGTAGCAATGGGTAAAGATGGTGAGTAGACAGAATGTTTTGAAT